ACAGGGACAGAGAATATATTATCCATATAGGCAGATGCTTCAGATGTTTTCCAACTCTGTATTTTACCAACTTCTTTCACCTTCCCTTGTTTCTGTTTGGTGTTAAATGACATCTGAAGCATTTTCAGTTCACATTTGTGGGTGGTAAATATTAGTTTGGTTAATATGCCCTGTACCAGTGGCTCTCAACCCTTCCAGACTACTGTATCCCTTTCAGGAGACTGATTCCTCTTGCATACCCCCAAGTTACACCTCCCTTAAAAACTACTTGCTTACAAAATCAGACATAGAAATAGAAAAGTGTTCCAGCACACTATTACTGACAAATTGCTTGTGTTCTCATTTTTACCATATAACTATAAAATAAAACAATTGAAATATATATCTTGTACTTACAGTTCAGTGCATAGTATATAGAGCAGTATAAACAAGTCATTGTCTGTATGAAATTTTAGTTTGTACTGACTTCACTAGAGCTTTTTCTGTAACTTGTGTAAAACAAGACAAATAGCTAGAGGAGTTGCTGTACCCCATGGAAGACCTGTGTACCCCCAGGGGTTCATGCACCCCTGGCTGGGAACCACTGCCCTGTACGGTCTCTTTTCACTTCACACCTACAGTAAAGAAGCTCTTGGAAAGATGGGCAGGTCATGAAGCAGAGATTCAAAACAAATTAAACCAATTATTTGCACAGGTTTGGATGGATCACATTCCTATCTATATACTGTGATTGCAGGCACAGCAAGATCATTGGACTCGTTCATCCCAGACCTCCCTCCCACATGTTTCTCATGGTCACAAACTGGCTAGAACCTCTGCAGCTAAGTACTAATAAACCCACATTCCTGGTTACCTGGCGTTGGAATATCAGCACTCTCTATTACAGACACTCATCTCTCTTGAGTGGCCCTAACATGGTCAAACCTCACACCCGTTGAAGTCCGTGAAAATATTCCCATTAACTTTAAAGGCAGTTGGATTAGGCCCCCAGCTCTTAGCCAAGTAACCCATAATCTCATTGACTTCAGAACTCATTACAGTGATACTGAAGACAGGGGTAACATTTTCAAAAACACCTAAGTGGCTGAGGGCAGGTCCACCCTACAAGCTTTTGCCATGATAAGAATGTCAGTTAGGAGTATTATATTTCGCAAGATTTCTAACACCAACAAAAGCCCCAGTTTATGATGGCATAAAAATGCTTTTCCCATTATAGCTTTTCACACTCCGGAACTGGTATAAGCAAAAGCAATTTTGGGCTGGTTGTAAGCTGTGTCTACATTAGGAGCCATATCAGTAAACCTTTTCTAGTGCAGAACGTGACTTAGAAGCCTAAATCCCATTGACTTTCACTTTTGAAAATAGGACTTAGGTTCCTCAGTCATTTAGACACTTTTGAAAATTTTGCCCAGGGCCTTTTCTTCTTATGGACTAGTCCTGTAGAACTGCCTAGAAAATTATCTATGTACAGAATTTTGGAACCAACATATCAAATTTTATAGCCAGGATCTCATTCTCCATTGCATTCTTTGGGGTTTTTAAGAGTAATTTCTATAGACTCCTATTTAATTTTGACAGAAACCAACCAGTTTATTCCCTCTTGAGAACTTCTTAAAGTTAAAGTGGAAGAAGACTGATAACTAGAGTTTGTCATAAGATTAAACATTCTTGTTAATATTGTTTTAGCACCTGCAGTTCTCAGTCAGATTGGGATTCCATTGTGATAGGCAAAGTACAAACATACAGGAAATGACAGTCGTGCCCCCAAGACCTAATTGTTCTATTTACCTCTGTGGATACTTCCGGGATCTTGCTCCCCATCACTGTCCTAGCTGAGGCCCACATATTAAGGATGTGGGCATGAACACCTCACAATCCCAGTGAGATAGGGAAGTATTGTTCGAGGAAATTTATGCAAGAGCCAGGAATCAAACTTAGGGTGGTGAAGCACTGGAATGGGTTGCCTAGGGAGGTGGTGGAATCTCCTTCCTTAGAGGTTTTTAAGGCCCGGCTTGACAAAGCCCTGGCTGGGATGATATAGTTGGGAATTGGTCCTGCTTTGAGCAGGGGGTTGGACTAGATGACCACTTGAGGTCCCTTCCAACCCTGATATTCTATGATTCTATGATTCTCCCCAGTCGCTTCCTCACAAGACCTTCCTTCCTCCTCAGACAGACCTGGAGCTGATACTGTAAACCAGGGGTTCTCAAATGTCATTGCACCGTGACCGCCTTCTGACAACACAAATGACTACACGACCCCATGAGGGGAGACTGAAGCCTGAGCCCCGCTGCCCTGGGCTGGAGGGCCAAAGCTGAAACCCAGGGGCTTCAGCTCCAGGCAGCGGGCCTGTAACTTGAGCCTTGCCACCAGGGCTGAAGCCATCAGGCTTGGACTTCATCCCCAGGTGGTAGGGCTCAGGCTTCAGCTTCAGCACTAGGCCCCAGCAAGTCTAACGCCAGCCCTGGCAACCCCATTAAAACAGGGTTGTGATCCACTTTGGGGTCCAGACCCACAGTTTGAGAACCGCTGTTGTAAATATTTCCATCCAAACGTTTTCCCCCAGAAAACTGGGGTTTCGACAAAACAGAACTCTCCACGGAGAGTGTCTGCTTTCCTTGAAAATTTTCCATTTTGGTGTCAGAAATGTTTCCGGTTTTCAGTAGCTTCTGGCCAATTTTTCTCCCCAGATTTCAGTTGTTTTCAGCTGAACATTTTTTCAGGCTTTGGTTACCAAAAACCAAACTTGTTTTGGTTTTCAGTTTATTTATTTATTTTTTTAAACACAAAGGGCTCTTCAAACTAGCAGAGAAAGATAGAACATAATCCAATAGCTGGACCTTGAAGGCAGACCATTCAGCCTGGAAATAAGGCATACATTTTTAACAATGAGAGTCATTAACCATTGGAACAGTTTACCAAGAGTCATGGTGGATTCTCCATCACTGACAATTTTTGAATCAAGAATGGACGTTTTTCTGAAAGCTCTGCTCTAGGAATTAGTCTGGGGCAAGTCTCTGGTCTGTGTTATACAGGAGGTCAGACTTGATGATCACAGTGGTCCTTTTTGGCCTTGAAATCCTTGAATCTACAAAAAATGTCGGTGGGAAAAGACTCCTATTTTCTGACCTGTTCTACATCAACCCCTCAGGGAATCAAACTCCATCTCTGCCTGAGCTACAGGGGACACTTTCCCAGAGGTAGTTGTTATTCTTTTAGTTAATTTGTATTATAGGTAGTTATTAATTATTATTATTTCAGTTAATTTGTATTATAGCAGCATCTGCAGGCTCCATCCATGCTCAGGACCACACATTAGTAAGTACTGCATTAATACATCACAACTGATACTCTTTGCCCCAAGGAACTTGTAATGAAAATAGACATGACAGACAAAGAAGGTGACACCTCCCCCATTTTACAGATGGGGAACTGAGGCACGTGGATGACATGACTTGGTTAAGGTCCCATGGAAAGTCTGTGACAAAGCTGAGACTTGAACTCAGCTCTCCTAAGGGCATTAACCACAAGACCACCCATTTTCTCTAAAACATGGGCAGCTAGATGGCTCTGAGCTAAGACTTTTTGCTCCCAATGACACACAGAACTGTAACTATAACCTAACAGCAGATAAGCTTCTGCATTGTACCGGAGTTCTGAGTGTGACATTTTAGCAATGCCAACAAAGACAGTGTGTGCACGCGTCTGTAATAAACTGTGACTGGCACATTAATCAGATGCAAATGATGTCTAAGTATTTAAAATAAAACAAAACTGAGCCCCCCCTTCCCCCGCAATTCAGAGCTCCCAGCCCTAACCGTGCCATAGCAAACACTGTTTTAAAGGGAGAAAACATTACTTTCAACATGACCTTTAAAGATTAAAAACATTTGTTCAGCACATTATTCGGATTTACAAAGCAGTTTTGACAGCTCCATTATTGAATTTTACAAACCGTTGCTCAATATTGAAATCCCATCATCATTTTTTTTTTTGGCTGTTGTCATTTGGGTGGTGGGTGGAAGTAAGAAAGAAGGAATCAAAGAGGGAAGCTGTTGAATGAACTTGACAGGCCTATGTTTGTCTGCCCTGTTTGTGTGCATGTTCAGGAGAGATATGCTAACTACACATACTAGTCAGATCACAGGCTCAGACGTGTGTCGATAACTCGCTTCCTTCAAGCCAGGGTTTTACATTATCCCCAGGGAAGGGATGTTGCTCTTTCAAAAAAAAAATATATATATATATAAAAATAAAAAAAATGTTTTTTAAATAAAAAGTTAAGAAACACAAAGTTATAATAAAATGTTATTCTCTGACATTTCTACATTTAAATAAATAAAGAGATGGTGCAGAATAGGCCATTTCCTGCTTTGTGTCGGGCAGGAGTTTTTCAATCAAGATGGCCCTCTCTGAAAGAATACAAGTGAAGGAAGCTTATTTGCTGGAGGTGAATTTGGCCCAGACGTCGATTTGATTTTGAGGAACTCTTTAATTCCCCCCCCCACTCTTGGCACCTGAGCTTTCGGGCAGTTGTAATGGGCTAGGGGCTTTGCTTTGCTACAGCTTTCTCTGTATTTAGCTAGCTGCTGCTGTATTGTCTTGTGATTTGAGAAACACAGTGCTTACAATCCCCATCCCAGACTGGGAACCCCTTGTGTTAGGTGCTGCACTTGTAGGAAGAAACGGTCCCTGCCCTGAAGCCCTTGCAAATGAATAGACAGAGAAGTGGTGGGGAAAGGAAGTCTCATCTCCATTTTACAGAAGAGAAACTAAGCCACAGAGATTAACTAGTCCAGGGGGTGGTGACAGAGACAGATACTGAGCCCACATCTCCCGAGTTCCAGCCCAGTGCTTTAACCACAAGATCATCTTTCCTTTTGAGGCCTCACGTCTTCTGTTATCAGGTTAAGCTTATCCAAGTTTAACTGCACAGCTCCTAACATTCCTCTGCTAGCACCGATAAGTGGGAAACTCTTCAATTCTCTTTCATTTTGCAGGGTTACTTCTCCAGGCCAGAAGCTCCGATTGCTGAATAAAGCCCAAGGTTCCAGATCTCCCCGGTGCTGTGCTACCATCATCTCATAACTCAGATATTGAATTGTTCCAGCTGTAAATTAATCTCCTTTCCTCATGATTGTCTCCTTTTAGCATCTTTTAAATTAGATCCACCTATTAGGAACATTCCCTAATCTCCTCTGCGACTCATCAGAGTTTGCAGCCTGGCACATCCAATTTAGATCTAAACTATGTTGACTGGGTTTAAAATGCTGCTTCTAACATACTCCCTCACCAATTGATGCATTAGCTGGCAACATTAAAGGGGAGGGGGAAGAGATTGAATTTGCACAACTTGTGTTAACCTTTGGCACAAAATGAAGGCTTCCCTCAGGCAAAGTCTGTAGAATTAAAAGTGCCCATAGCTCAGAGGCAATGGACTGAATTCTAACAACTCAACATCAGTACTGGGCAGCCATTAAGGAGCACATTTCCTGTGATCCTACCAGGGCTACCCGGGGGAGGGGGGGAGGGAGGCAAGTGGGGCAATTTGCCCCAGGCCCCGGGCGCCGCAGAGTCCCCGCGAGCCCTGGTCTGGCAGTGGTCCAGGTCTTCGGCGCCATTTCGGCGGCAGGGGGCCCTTCAGTGCTGCCGAAGACCCGGACCGCCGCCAGGTGAGTACAAGCGCCGCAGCTCCCCTGCTTTGCCCCAGGCCCCTTGAATCCGCTGGGCGGCCCTGGATCCTACATGCAAAACCCCACAAGCTCTTTCCTTCTCTCTCTAGGGAGCCCTATCCTCCAAGGGATTCTGGTGCCTGCTTGCATTTAAATGGATGCACCCTAGCCTCTGTTTGCCAGAAGCTGGGAATGGGCAACAGGGAATGGATCACTTGGTGATTCCCTGTTCTGTTCATTCCCTCTGGGGCACCTGGCATTGGCCACTGTCAGAAGACAGGATACTGGGCTAGATGGACCTTTGGTCTGACCCAATACAGCCGCTCTTATGTTCTTATATTCCTATGATTAAGCAGCAGGAGTTTCTGATAAAGCCGACAGGCCTAATTGCTAACAGCTCGGAGGCTTCTAGCCACCTGAGAGAGTTTTAAATCCTGATTTGCTAAACCCAGTGTCCAGCTCCTGACACACAGCAAATCTCAGAGGTAAAAGGTTTAATTTTGCCTTCCATTTCTATGCCTATGGTTTTACACACATGGTGTCAGTGTCGTGTGTACACTTCATACTCCGCACAAAACGATTCTAGCCCTTTCTCCTCACACCCTTTTAGCGCCTGAAGATGCTTTCATTTATTTATTTATAATGCAGCAACATCTGGAGGCCGACAGTGCTAGGGGCGGTACGAACACACACTAAGCATTCTTACAATCCTAATAGATGAGGCAGAGAAAGGAAACATCTTCACTAGCCCCATTTCAACAGGCAAAAAATCACAAAGACATTGAATAATCAACTCACAGTCACGCAGAAAGTCTGCAGCAACGTTTGGAATTGAACCTGGCCTGTCCAGGTCTCAAGCCAGTTCCTTAACTATCCTTTTATGGTTCTTGTCTGCCCCCCTTCCCCCGCCCCTTAGTGTAGTATCTGAGCATCTCACCATTTTTACTGTATTTATCCTCACCCCTCTATAAGGCAGGCAAGGGCTATTTTCCCCCTGTTACAAACGAGGAACTGAGGGAAAGAGACTTAGGGCTTGTCTTCACTGCAGTGTTGCTCCAGGTATAATTTGCCCCTCACCTGACTCCCGTCTGTACACAAAAGTCTCTCGCTTCAGTGAAGTGCTGCTTTAAACCCTGCGTGAGCTGGACCTGCGGGGTAGGCGTTGAAGCTTGAGTGCTGCTGCTGCTCTGCTGGTAATGCAGTGGGGACTCAGCTACTCTGGGCTGCTAATACAATCACTCTGTGCAGCTGGTGTGTTGTTTTGCAGCCTGATCACTCTCACTTGCGTGAGGCTAACTCAAGAAATGTTAATTCCAGCTAACATGGCAGTGAAGACAAGCCCTATATGACTTGCCCAGGGTCATACAAGGAGTCTGTGGCAGGGCAGGCCATCTATCCCAGGTCTCCATCCTTCCTCTCACCTCATCTTTCTCAAGCATAACAAAGGACACTGCCACAGTTACCCACTGTCACAGTCCAGGGCAACTGCACCTGTGTCCCCTCCTCGTGGCCCAACAAGGGTATCCAACTCTAGGCTCCCATCTCCTCAGCCATCACCTCTCTTGGGTAGAGACCCATGTCTCTCTCCCTCCTGACCGGGGTTTTTCCAGGCTGCACAGTTCCTTTCCTGCACTGTGATAGCCCCAGCAAGCCAGACTGCCTAAGCAAGTGAGTGTCTACATTTTGCTTTCTTTCCAGAGGTTATGAACAGCTGTAATTACCCACAGTTGCAAGTCCCCACACAGCTTTTTTTTTTTTACCAAGCACATTTATTTTTAAGGTGAAAGTGTTAGAGAGAAAACATATTATAAACAATAAAAGACCTGCATGCATACTAAAACGCTTACCAGAGGTCACCCCAACTCCAACCTTGGGCTCTGGTAGGGGTCAGTCTTTCAAACCCCACAAATCAGTTTTCCCCATGGCTACACATTCGCAACTAGCTCAGATTCAGAACACTCCGCAGTGCAGTACATCCATTGCTTTACACAGTTTTGGCCTTTGATGTCTAGCCTCTGGGAACAGGTCATCAGCAGACAAAGACCATCTCCTCAGGGCATAGCTTCAGAAGGCTGGGTTGTTGCATAGCCAGAAGTGGGGAATTCATCTTCCCCTAGGTATTTCCCAGGAAATCCACATCAGATGTATTTACCCAAAAGTCCATTCTTGTCTGGCCCATTGTTCAATATAGTCCTTTGATTGTCCAGTCCTCACATCCCATCTCCCACCTAGAGAGGTTTCATGAAATCCCAGCCCACAACAATACAGAACATTGGAGTCCATTGTACTAAATGCAAAAGATACTTAAACATAATTCAATAAAGTTTTTCAAGAATAATGAAGGAAATTGCCATATCTGTCACCCCCAGACACAGGCAAAATTCTCATTTCTGTCACCCTGCTAGATCAGTTTCTGCAGATGATTTTCCTATCTGAAGTTACTTTCTGATTTGAACACAATAGGAGTCAAAATATTTAATCTCCTTTCCCTTATTTTAGAAAGGGAGGGGAGGACAGCTTTGATGAATGAACGAGGAAGACAGCGACGTTACATTTTCCTGTAGAGCAAGAATGGTTGATGCAACGTACCTCACCTATACAGAGATGAAGCAACAGCAGCTCTCATTTATTCAGCAGGATGACTCCAATTTAATTGAATTTTGAACTCCAGTTACTGTGTAGACTGGATCAATTTATCTGCAATTAACGCAGGACTCTCACAGAGCTAATGGTTTTTCTTTTAAGCCAAACCAAAAACAAACAAAAAAACCATCCCTCCACCCCCAGAAAATAACCACAGGTCATGGAATCCTGGTAATTTCAAATCCCAACCAGCTCTGGTTAGTTTTCCAAGTATCTGGACAGAGTGGAAGATATTTTTTTCTTTGTTGCTTGGGTACTTTTTGTTGCTTGTGTTTTTATTAACAATGCATTTAGATAAAATGATACATAACTAGAGAGAATAACTAAGGGTGTGTATGTTTAACTAATAGAGTTCTATTAGGACGTGAGCACCTCACTGTCTTTTGTCCTTTTGAAAATTTTCCAGTTAGGTCCTGATCCTGCAATGACCTCTCACCCAAGGAGGCGGCCGGTACTTGCCTGGAGCCCTAGCAAAGCCACAAGGATCCACCCACACATGCTCATTGTAGGATCAGAGGCTAATTTTTGTCCCTCTACAAAAATCAGTTTCCAGTCAAGGTCACGCCACTGCACACAATTCATGCAAATGGAAATAAGATGTGCTAATAAACCGGGTCACTGAGTTTTAATTAATTGCCCCGTATAAGGAAGAAGAAAAGAGAGCAAATCCCACCCCAGCCAAGTTTGCTGATTCTAGAAATAGCCAGAGCTACACAATGCAGCCTGTTCTCCTGTCTGCACAGGCTCCTGCTCACCATCAACGGCTTTGGTGGTAATATTATTTGTGCGTGTTGTGGTGCCACCAGGATTAAGGCCCTGTGGTATTAGGAGCAATGTGGCTCAGCATTCAACACGCATAGATCTTCTGAAACACTGGCCCCGGTTATAGCTGCCGACCCCTCCTGATAATTCCGTGCTCAACGTTTCAAGCTTCCCTTTCCTTCCAAGCTGTTCCCTCTGTGGTCCAGCATTGTGACATGCAATTCGCAACTTCTCCCTCTACGTGGCTGCTCGGCAACAGCCGCTGATGGCAAAGCCCCCAGAAAGCACACATCTGGGGCAGCAGCAGGATCCTATGAGAAAAGTGCTGCTCCTGCTACAGCTCTGTGGTTAACCTGCCCCCCGACATGAAAAGAATCCCCCACATTATGTGCTGTCACAATGCAGAGCGGTGGCTGCTGTTCTGGAATTGCCACGCAGCAGAATTTTACTTTGTGTGTGATGTGGGGTCCACAGGGCCCAGTGTGTCTGGTAGTGACTGAGGAAGAATGGATTGGAACTACCATCTGCTGTATTTCTTCTTCTTTGTGGTCCAGTAGCACACCTAGATTGGGGTCCTATTGTTCCAAGAACTGTACAAACATGAGAGAGAGACAATCCCCGACTGGGGAAGTTTATAATCTAAATAGGCAGAAGCAGCATTATTACCCTCATTTTACAAATGGGGCACAGACAGATTAAGTAGCTTGACCAAGGTTGCACAGGAAATAGATGGAAGAGACAGAAAATGAACCCAGCTCTCTTAAGTCACAGTCCAATGCCCTACCCATGACACCATCCTTCTCTACCCTCCCTCCCCTTCTTTCTACTAAGATTCTTGTCTCAGGATGAGATAAAGAGCTGATATGGCAGATTTGGGATGGTTGAATCAGGCCACCTTTAACATTATTTATCTTTTAAATAGGGTTTTGTATTTAATTTTCCTGTGTTGAGTCAAAAAGCTGGAGGCCATTTTATCAGGATGTGCAGATCTTGTTATGTGCGCCTCCTCTAATCCCTTTAAGCCTTAATTATATTTAAAACTATAATTAACATTTAACTCCATCATGATCTTTCTGTTGCTTCTTCTTCTGGCTGAGACATAATGGAGATTCACCACCAAGCTCTGATGCTCACGGGCAAAGTCAATCATCTTCTGCTGTGACCTTGACAAACTAACCCCCTGTGTTCTCCCTCTCGTGGGGAGAAAGTGGAGGGAAACTTAGTTATAGGAATTTGTGTTGAAAAGAGCCACTCCCAAGTGAGGTCAGCTAAATCCAGGTCTTGCCAGACTTCTCTGACAGACAGGGCGGAAGCAGACACCAATGGTGTCAGCGTGAGCTTTGGCTGGGGAGCTGTGCAAGACACATGTACACTGTCGGGTCTGGTTCCTGGAAGGGCATGCTCTGCTGGTTGGTTAGTCCCCCCTCGCCCCCGTATGGGCTCGATCAGCTGAGAGCGATAGCAATGGTCTTACCAATGGTCTGCTTGGAATCAAATGAGCAGGAAGCCAAGGAACCCT